CCCCATCTAAAAGGTTCACAGGAGATTCCAGCTCCTCCTGCCCCATCTAAAAGGTTCACAGCAGTTCCCAGCTCCTCTTGGCCCATCTCAGAGCTCAAACACCCATCCCAGCCTGCAGGAATGTGGTGCTGCACAGGAGCAATGCCCAGCAAGGACACAGCAGGCTGAAAACATCATGTAAAGGCAGGTTTTGTATTTGAGCTGGCAGGAGTGTGACCTTGTCCTTTTCTTCACTGGGATTTACAGGACTAAGTCCACAGAAATAAATCAAAGGTGCACATGGAGCAGATCTCCTCCTCTGGGCCCTGCTCCATGGGGCAGCTCAAACACAAGAGCAGAAGGAAGGCCCAGCACGTGTGAAGGATGAGGGCACATGCCAGAAAAAAAGAGGGAAGAGGGAACAGGAAAAGAAGAACCAGGGGAATCCCAGTATTTCTCCTAACCCTCAAATCTGAGAATGGCTCATTCAAAGTTGCTGCAGCATTTCCTGGCTAAACAAGAGATGGTTTAGTGTCCCAAATCCTGGCCCATGCCCCCTCCCCAGCCTTGGGTCCATGACAGCATCTGCCTCATCATTCTGGCATTTCTGACAGCTTCTCCCTCTCACACACCAGGCTTCTGCAGACAGCTCAGAAATTGTGTGTAACAGCCAATATTCTGCAAACATCTCGTGCCAGATTGAGCTGGGAGAGAATTAACACAGCCCAAGCCACCCAGCCAAGGCAGCAAGTGCTCCCAGGGCTGGGAACAGTCAGGGCAGCCCTGCAGAGCACTCCTGTCCCTCTCCAGGGGCAGCTGCCATCCCCCTCTGTGCTCAGCCTGCTGCAAATGTGTACAGAGCAGATTTGGGTGTTTGTCCTCCAAACCTGCCTTGTTCATGCTGGAGGAATATTGACACAACACTCCCTTCGAAGCAAGTGGAAATTGAAGCTTTTTGTTGAACCTGTTTTTTTCTTTAATCTCGGCTTTTAGAACAAGACATTTAACAACATTACCATTCATTTTTACATCACACGTCAAAAGTTCAGCTGGACTCCTGCTTTAGCTGCAGCTGAATGTTGTCTGCTTCCCCAGAAGTCCTCAGAGTGAAGATTTATGGAGAAGCAGATACTTAAATGCACACAAAACCAGGAAATGCAAGTGGGTTTTACTAATGAGGCAGGCACTTTGCTGCATGCACCTCTCCACCAGAAACAAGTCCCACTTTAGCAGACACCAACAGCATCTTTTGTCTGTGTCTAATTTGGGAGCTGTGTTGCACAGAAGTGGGAAGACAGTTAATGTATGCAAAGGTTGCTCGAGCAGAAAATGCTTGATCTGGTCAGGGACTGGAAGAACAAAAGCTTTTCATTCCAAACAAAGGATTCCCCCAGGAGTGGGAGGTACTTGAAGATGTCCACTTCTGCATCTGGAATTAAAAGCTGAGATTTCTCACAGAGAAATGCAAATCAATTAAGTGAACCAAGAAATGTTTGGGGAGGAGAAGGAAAATACTTGGCAGACAAACACTAAAAGGTCGAGCAGCTCTGTGGGAGTCATGTCCCAGGGACTGGACCAAAACCATAATTAGTCTGTTGTGGAGATAAATACCAAGCTTGTGTTCTGTTTTCTCATCCCAAACATCTCCTGGGCACTTGCTGCCTCACATCCTTCCTCCAGCAGCAGAGCTCTAAGTGTGTGAAACACCTGGGGGAGGAAGGGTTTTAGCAAAAGTGTGAAGTGTTCCTTCCAAAGTGCACAGGCAGTAAAACAACATTTCCTCTGGGTTTGCACTGCTCCCAGCCACACTGGGGGCACTTGTGGCATTCCCAGCTGATGTCACCTGCCTGGGAGCTGGATGGCAGCTCTGGATCCACAGTGCCTTGTCTCTCACAGCTGGCAGCAACCAGAGCTGCCCAAGTGTCCCCACAGAGGCAAAAAGGCCACCAGTCCCACCAGGCTGGCAAGGAAATGAGGGGCTTCAAATGTAGATCACATCTGAGTCATGCTGCTGAACCTGCAGGCAAATCAAAGAGGGAGAATTAGTGATGGCTTAAAGTAACTCCCTTTGGTCTGGGTATTCCTCTCCTCCAACTCTGAAGCCTTTTGCAAGATGCTCTACAATCGCTTTTTCTTCCTTCTTTAAACAAATTTGCCTCACCCCTGAGTTTAGTCTTAAAAGTTGCTTCTGTTGCCTCAAAAAGAGCTGCTCACTCAGCTGCTGCTGCACTCAGCTGTGTCCTTTGGTTCTAAGCACAGCAACCCTGAAGGAGGTATTGAATGTTACATTCAGGAGCTTTTAATTGATCCTAAACCCCTCCAGTTCTGTTCAGATAAACCACAGTGACTCCATCAGGCTTTCCCCATTCCCAATACCCTGCCCAATTAGCACTGCCTACAGACAGCTGATTTCCTTCCCACTGTTCCAGACCACATTTCCTTACAGCTCTTCCTCATTCTCCAACCCAGTGATATTTCAAAGCAGGTTGTTTTCTCCTGACACTCAGCTCATTGCTCTTCAAGCCTCTTTGACAGGGAGCACATGGAAGAGAACTGAGCTGTTGGGAGCCTGGGGATTTATTGGTCTCTTCCTCCCTGCCTTTTAAAAGAAGAAGACAAGCACAGTATGTTTTAAGCTCTCTATACCTGGGAGCACATTTCTCATTTCCAAGTCTGGCTGGTACAAATAAAATTTAACACAGATCCTCCTACTGTGTACAGACATCTCTGCTTCATTTACCAAGGCTTACAGCTTTGCACTCCAGCTTAGTTCAGAAGTGAGAAAAAACAGGCAGCCTCGAGTTATAAACATTCCCAAATGATGTGCCAGCACCAGGGACTCCAAAATCCTGCAAAAGCCTTGTCAGCTGTGAGGCTGGGACAGAGCAGGACAAACCAGGTCCCTAAAGGCAGCCAACCACTCTGAACTCTCAACTTTTAGCCAACATTTAGGAATTTACTGACAAATCTGATTACCTTTATAATCTGTTTCCTGGTTCCTGTGCCCACACTGTTGGCAGCCAAGGAATTGGCTTGGGAAGATGACTTTTCCACTGGCACCATGTGTTGAATTTTGTTGGTGCAGGGCCAGCTGCTTGCAGTGTTTAACAAGTAAGCAGGGAAAGGTCTTTGAAGATTTACATCCATTGCATCTCCAGTTTCGAAGGTTCTCATCCATGATGGGGCCTTGAAAAGAACAGAGCACATGGAAATTTAATGCCCTCTCTATGTCAACACTCATTAAGCCAAAAAGAACATCAGATGAGTAGTCAGAAAATAAAGGCCATCTTTTCTCATAATTTTTCAAGCCTCCCTTCTGTCTCTGAAAAACCATTGACTCAGAGCCATTTTTGCTACATGAGGAACAACCTGCAGACAAAGCCAGCCCTATTCCTGCCCTGCTGCAGGAAGAAGCTGAAGAGTTTATTTAAATAACAAGCAACTTATGACTAAAATCTGGGTCTAGTTCCTCATTGCCTTCAAAAAAAAAAAAATTACACCAAGGCTTTTATGACTTTTAGCAACCACAAAGCACATGAATGAGAATGTGATGCAAACTGTAAGAAACCACATTTGAATGTGTTAGTCACAACAATTTCATTTGCTCCAAGACCTTAAACCCTGATTGTGATTTCACAATCATAAAATGAGATGATTATTTTTTTGCTGATGCTCCTGGTATTCAGCACAGGAAAAAAGGCCCTAAGATTTTGTTTTGACATGAATTTTCCTCTAAAAGTGTTTATGCTTCTAATATTTTATCATTAAGGGTAGTGAAGGCTTGGACTGAAATACAGCAGCTCCCTCTGGCATACACACTGTTGCATTTTAGGGTTCATGCTGGAGAAAGAGGCAGGGATGTGGGGTTCTTACACTTCCTAAGGAGCGATCCAAGGAGCCCAAGACTTCATTCCAGTGACTGTAAAGCCCAGCCTGTTTTTCCTCCAGTTTCAGAGCATGAATTTCAGACTTCAGTTCTTTCAGTCGATCTTCGAATTTCCTGCTGTTTTCTAAGTAGTCCAGCCTGGGAGGCAAAAAGTTTAGTGTGGCACAATTTAACCCAAGAACAGGTGTTTGCGGAAGGAGGAGAGTTGGTTTTTGTTTCCTTTTATGTTTTATAAGTAAAATGAACTCTGGCAATGCCAGCCTGGCTCCCCTGACCCAGTGACAAGGGGGTTCACTTCTTACTTTTTTGCTTCCTAACTTTTCACCAAGCATTTCCTTCCAAACTAAGGGACGTCTGATGGATCAGCTCCCAGCAATTCCACAGTTTAGCACTAGAGGGAAACTTCTGTCCTCTCACATGCTGTCAGTTCAGTAAGGTGCTTTGTCCCACCCCAAGACAGAAGGTTCTGGATTTATCATGTCTTGATGCCACCAAAAACCCTTCCCCTGTGTGAAAAGCCAGTCTGACACAGACATCACCCACACCAGCTCAGTGAAAGGCCTCCAGCCATGCGCACATCCCAAATTATTTAAAGATGAACTGTGCTTCCCAAAGATTTCATTGCCTTTCTCATTCATTTGCACCTCAAGCATGCTGATACCTCTCTCTCTCTATCTCAAAGGAGAGTCTCTTGAGGTCGATGTCCTTCAAATCCAGCTTGATGGATCCTTTGTCAAAGTTGGCATCTCTGCTGTCACCCGGGGAGTACTGGGGGTACTTGGCCATGTGCTGGAAGAGGCAACGCAAGCACTGTCAGCCAGATCTGATGGACTGATTTGGGATTTATCTCCTCAGTTCTGCAAGAGTACCATGCTAAGCTATTTCCTAAGTTTCCTATTATTTCCTAAGTTTCTGAGACACACAGATGCTCCTGCAGCCCTTCCCTTGCAGCCAGCTGAAGTCTACAACCCACAGGAGCAGAGATTTATCCTGGCTGCAGTGTTTCTATTGCAGCAGAGTATAGAAACCCAGCCTCAGCAGGGCTGGAGCAGAAGAGGGAGCTGGGGCACAGACCTTCAGCAGTGCTTTCTTGCTGGGGACAACTTCACCTGCTTTGCCCAAAAACAGATGGATGTGCCAGGATGACACAGCTGGCTCAGCACAGCCATGTCCACAAAAAAACTGCCTGGCTGAAATGGCACCACGAGTTAGCCATGAAGGCAAGACAGCCTCTGCTCCCTAAGTCCATCACCAGTTCTGGTGTTAACTCCTGCATTGCCTTTCTTACCACCCTGAACAAACCCAGCTTCCACCCTTGCCACACTGCTTTTCTACACCAGTCTGACCCCCAGCTGGATGCAACCATGCCACCAATCAGCTTGATGGGGGCTATAAAAATGACATCAACCCCTGACTATCCCTGAAGATGAAGAGGTGCCAAGAGGAGCAGAACTTACAGGATAATTAAGCCTGGTTATGTCTAAGAGCTTCTGCTTCGCTTTGCGTTCGGCCTCCCGGGCTTCGTGCAGGTCTTGCTTCAGGTGCTCTGCTTCCTTGGCTCTGGAAGAGAAATATCCTGAGGGGAATGGCTGATGATTTCCAACATGGATTTCAGAGCTCACTAGCTTCCAGAGGACAAGTCCACTACTGTGTTATCTTCACACCAAGGTACTCGTGGGAGATGCTCACATGGAGAACTGACTGGGCACAGCAGGACAGACACACTCCTGCACAAAGTGGATGAATTACCATGATTTTCCTACTCCTAATTTCCATGGGCTCAGTTACAACCTGCTGACACAGATTCTCTCCAGGCCATCAGAGATCCTCCCCGAGGTGGGGAGAGGTTGCTTTATTTTGGCAAGCTTCTTGGCAGTATCCTAAAACAAGTAGAAGGATTTCTTAATAACAGGGTTAAAAATCCTCTGTCAACACTGGCCTGCTCTGCATGTTCAGAGAACATGCAAACACTCAGAGTTGTTTATATTCCAAATGAGTTTACCTGGTTTTACACTTCTTAAAGATCTAAAAGGGAAACAAGACACCATTCACTTGATACTAATGAGTGAAAACAGCCTCATATCTCACAGGGTATAAAGAGTAAATTTAGATAAGTAGCTAGTGCTCGTTTGAAAACACTAAACTAAATAGAAGATGCTTCTGCATTCTGGATCTTTCTTGCTAAACATTCTCTTTCTTGCTAAACAAGAAGCTTTGCATCTGATCCTCTGTAAATTTGACCTGCAATACAACAACAGCATCCAGGTGGAACAAACAAGGCACAAGGAGGCTTAGTCCCTCTGAAGTGTCACTTCAGGAATAATTCCCCCCTCCTGGGTTTGGCTCCGAGGAAAGCAGCACTCCTGCAGCCCAGCTGAGAGCACACAACGCCGGGGAAGCAAACCCCACCTCCTGTCAGACTCCTTCACCAGCTTCACGGCAATCAGCTCCGCCTCCCGCATCTTCTGCTCCATCAGCCGCTTCTCCTCCTTGCTTTTCAGAGCTGTGATCTCCAGCCTCTGGCGTTCCTGCTCAGCCTCTGCAGCATTCTGGGCCAGCAGCTTGGCCTCTTCTTCTGCAATCTGGGCTTTCTCAGCCAGCAGCTCTGCTGCTTCCTGGGATCGGAGCTGAGGAGAAAGAATTTTTCTTAGTTCCTTGTCTAGAACCTCCAAAATCACCCCTGCAGGCAGGCAGGCAGAAGACATCCTTACTAAGTGATAAATTATTATTTCTTAAATAAAAACCAGACAATTTAAGGGTCTAATGTTCCTCCTCTGCTCCAGAATTTGCTGTGTCTCACCTCTACAAAGCAAGGAGGAAAATCTTAGAGCTGGACAAAGCTGAAGTCAGCCCCTTCAGTTGCCTCTTTCTCCCAATTTCAGCTCCAAGACTGTTTCCTTTCCTCCCCTCTTAGCCTGACACTGTGAGCCAAATAAAGGGAGGGAATGGCTCACAGATTATGGCAGATCAGGGATTTCCCAGTGATTCCTGCATGCCCTTTCCACCAGTGATCAGAAACTCTCCAGCCTTGTCTGAGCTACAATTCCTGGTGTGAAAAAAATCCTGCTTCCAAACCAAGAAAGCCCATCAAACACAAGAATATTCAGTCTAACTCACAAGGGCCTCGTTGGCCTGCCTGGCTTCATCTTCCAGCTGGAAAAGGCGCCTTTCCAGCTCTTCTTTGGCTCTCTCAGCTTCTTCTCTGAGCTGCTTCTCCCTGGCCAGCCTCTGGCTCTCCATCTGGAAGTAGGATGAGCAAGAGTTGGTGGGATTGCAGCAGGATCTCACCTGAGCCTGAGTGAAATGCATCAAATGAAGAAGGGGCTGCTCTCCAGCAGGGATGCTCACCAGAGGTGCTGAAGCTGCCTGAACTTTGCAGCACTAAACTTCTCAGGCAGGCACTCCTGGTTATTTCAGACTGCTGGGAGAGCCCTTGGATTGATCTGGTTTGTGCCCCAAATCTTTGGGATCACCTCTCCACACAAACACCTCTGACCTCACCTGCCACAGGGCTGCTCCCACATTCAGTCCTGCTGCACTTCCTCACCTCCCACACACACACTGATGGAATACAGGAGCAGCAAAGGCAGAGCTGGAATAATAATCACCGTCTTCAACAACAGAGGAGCAAGAAAAATCTACCTTTTTTCTAGCTTTTTCTTCCCTGGCTTGTGCTTTCATTTGCTGGATCTCTATGGAGTCCACTTTTCTCCTCCTCATAAATAGGTCATGGTTTCCAATGCACAGCTGGAAAATCTGGATAGGAAAGGCAAAGCAAATGGGGTTTTGATGGACTTGTGCCCCTGCCAGAGGGACAGAGGCCCACACTGGCCTCACAGGACAATTCTGACTTCAGCACAAGTGCTGGCAGCTCCAAGAAAATCAGCACCCAGGGCAGGCTCACAGGTAAGCTTGTAACAGGATGAGAGGTTCCTCCTGTCCTTCATCTCCCTCTGATCCCACTTTCCTGAATTATACAGGCTGATCTAGGCTGAGATCCCAAGATCACAATTTTGTTTACAAACACTATTTCTCTGTCAGTATCACCAGGCTCAGTTTTAAAGCAGGAAAGCAGTTTACTCACTAGTTTGTTCACTTTGAGCTGAGAGGAGAAGAACTTGAAGACTTCTGCTTTTTTGTCGAGGGGTTTAATAGTTAACTACACAGGCAAAAGAAAAAAAAAGTAAGAACAGTGAGGAGAAAAGTAAGTTGAAACTATTAAAACCAATGCAAACTTGAGCTCATCTCCATTTTCTCTGGGGAAGCAGTGATTTATGCCACAAATAGGGGCAGAGTGACATAAAACTGTTTTTCTCCATAGAATCAGGCTGTGTTAGAGGATAAACCCTCAGGCCCAGCCCAGTGCCAGTGTGGATGGGGATTTTCCTGATGCCACCTGTGCACTGTCCCCAGAGCTCTGGAACAAGCCTTGCTTATCAGGAGAACAAGACACAGCAACAACCCCTAGAACTTGGCCTTAAAGCCAGGGAAATGTCAAACACCTCTCAGAACAGCAACAACTGAAGGGATAAACAAATGTGTCAAGGGCCTAAAGACTTATTCTTCAGAGCAGCAGGTCAAAATCCTGGAGGCTTCCTCAATTTTTCAATCCCAAGCTGTTCCCAGAGGCCAGGCAGGGTTTTCCTGCTGCCAGCTCAGTGCTTCACTCCATACTCTATGCTCTGTTCGGCTGCAGAACAAAATATGGCCCCTTTTCTTTTTAAGGCTGTGTTTTCTGTTCCTCACAGGTCCCCTGGCACTCTATTCCTCTAATTCATTTGCAATGTAATTCCTGTATAATTCCAGGGCATCTGAGTCTCCAGGATCATGTCCTACAGCTCCTTTCACCCTCCAGGCAATGACTGGCTGCCTTTTGGGGAGCAAGGCTGTGGTGTGTCACTGAATAAAGTGAACCTTAAACACAGGGCTGTCCAATTTTCCCCCAACAGGGGAATAAAGCAGTTTATTCACAGATCTCAGAGACCAAAACTGTTTTGGAGTAGTCCCCTCTGACTTAATGGATATGAATCTAAAATCTCATCTCAATTTTAGATCTCAGTTTCTGTGGGCTGTTTTCCAAAAGTCCCACAGAAAATGGAACAGGCTGTGCTGCCCTTTGGCTGACAAATTCCAGGTATTCCAGTACCACTGCAGTTTTCCTGGGTTTGCTTTTTCTGATTATAGCCTTCCACACAGCCCATTATTTGGACTGAGAATAAATTTTCCTCACTCCTTCACTTTCTAGAAGCACAAGCTGGGCTTCACAGTGAAATTGCAGTGGTGAGGAGTGAAATCATGTCCCAGCAAACTGGCAGAAGTGAGGCAGAAAACCATTAACACCTCCCTGCATGTCTCCTCTTGCCACTGGGCTCCAAGCCTCAGCTGCAAGGACGGCTTCTGAGTGTGCAAACAGCATTTAGGTTTTATGGATCATGGAATTCCTGCTGGGATAACTGATGAAGGCAGGCACGGTGGCATTCATAATATCTGTCTTTTTCAGAGATCAACACATTTGTTTTGCAAGGGCCAAGCAACAGGGAAGGAGCCAGAACAGAGTCAGAGCTCAGAGCAGCCTCAGGGAACCAAGCTTTTGAGCTCATCTGCAAGGCAGGGCTGTTATTTTTAGTTTTGTAACAAAGCTCCCCAGGATTTTCCCCTTCTCCCCCAAAATTATTTCAACAGAGGAAGCTTTCAGCCTGTTCCAAGAATCCCAGTCCACACCCATGCCCATGGAAAAAGAATAATACATCAAAGCCATCATACCTCTTTCTCACTACAGGAAATGTTTCTGATAGAGCTCCACTCAAAGGATTTATTGGGGGAGAACCTGTTATTAATGCTATAGATATGAATACCTTTGGCATCAACTCCAAGCAGGAGATCTGTGTGGTTTTTATTTTGCTAAAAAACAAGAGAGATGAGTAAATGGCATTTTTTGTGACATTAAACAACCACAGACAAGAAACACGTATTTTAATATATTGATATTTGTTTGTATTTAGGCAATTAGTGTTTATATAAAATATTATGAATGCTGTCATTGGTAATAATAAACTCAGTCCTCTAGGCTGCTTATAGTAGCTCAAACTATTTCTCCTTCCTATTCCCTACCTGGAGTTACTCAAAACTTTTGTCAGGTTGTAAAATATTAATCTTAACTGTTTTATTCACTTGCTTATTTAGCAGGCAAGAAAACCAAGTCAGAACAAAACCAGAAGTCAAGAGTCCCAGTTCCAAACTCCCTGGAGGACTTTAAAAGGACAGCACCATTATCTGCAGCAAGTAAAAACTGCTAAAATAAGGCACTTACAGCAATTGGGAAATAATTGACACCATACATTTCCAAGTCTTGGGCAATTTTCAGATAGTTCATCTCAGCTTCATCCCTGGAGAATAAAGCCATGATTATGAAATGCCTTTCCAGCCTTTCTCTCCTGGCTGACTCTCCATTTCCCACTTACAAAAGAACAGCCAATCTGACCCTTTGTACAAACTTAGTTTTGCCATCTTGCTCTCAATAATAGAAAAAAAAGGGTAATAAAAACAGCATCTGGACAGAATAAAGAATAATAAAGAGTAAAAGTTGCATCTATTTCAAAAGATGACTCATGGATAGTATAATCTTCATTACAATTCATTAAAAGTCTTATCCTGCCACTCCATGTCTTGGAAAACCACCCTTCCATTGTTTTCCATGAATATATTTCCTTCAGGAGATAGAGTTCATTGAGAAATGAGTCTTGGACAGAGCTTTTGGCCAAGGCCAAAGAAGAGTGAGAATCTCTCCACCCACTTTTCTTCTCCCTTCAAGGTAAATCAGTAAATCTTGAGGAAAATATTCAATAAAAATAATGCTAAGAAGCCTCCAGAACAGGTAGAAACAGAACACAAATATTAGGAAAAGCTGCCTCTGGGTGCTAACAGACCCTATTTATTGTTTCATTAGATTTCCAGATGGGCTGAATTACACTGAAGACAACAAATCCCATAAATAAATGTATGAGGTTTCCAAGAAATGCAAAGATTTCCTACCTGGCAATACCCCTGTGCTCAGCATACCAAGCAGTGATCTTCTCTTCCCACATCTCTGCTGTCAGCTGGTACTGCCTGAGCACCTGCAGGAGAAAGAGGGAGGTTGGATCCCTGTGAAGATCCAAATCCAAGTTCTGCCTCTCCCAAGCAAAGTGAAGTTAGAGGTGCAGTTCACAGCTTGGTCATTTTGCAGAGTTTTTAATGCTCTGATTAATCCCCAGCAATATCTGCACTGCAAAAAGAAGATTCAAAGATTTTGCACTGCAAAAGAGGAGACTCAAAGCTTTGGTTTTCTATCAAATTAAGACTCACCCTTTTGGGCAACAGCTCATCATGGGCTAGAAAGCCTGGCTCGTGGAAATTTGGGTCATAGTCACCATACTGTCCCAAAAAAGAAAAGTTATTTCAGTTTGTTAGAGGCAGAATACTGAGGGAATTGTTGTTTGCATAGTTTGAAGTGAAAGCTTGAGGCAGATTTTATTTTGGTTCCCCTGCACACATCTCCTCATCGGAGCAGTCCATGAAGATCCTTCCAGGCCCTGTGTCAGGCAGGGGGCTCCAACACAGCCACTGAGCCACTCACACGTCAATCCTAGGCTGGAAACCTTCAAACCCAGCCTGGAAAACCTTCAAACCCAGCCTGGAAAACCTTCAAACCCGGCCTGGAAAACCTTCAAACCCGGCCTGGAAAACCTTCAAGCCCAATTTGGATAACCTTCAATCCCAATTTGTATAACCTTCAAACCCAACATGGAAAACCTTCAAGCCCAACATGGAAAACCTTCAATCCAGCCTGGGAAACCTTCAACCCCAGCCTGGGAAACCTTCAA